GGGGTTCGGGGTGTGCCTTGGAGCCGCCTCGGGATGGACGTCTCTCTGGCACGTGCTTCCCGGGTTTTCCGACCCTCGGGAAGGGCATTCCCAATGTGTCGTGGGGGGCGGGGGGCCGGGCTTGTGGTGTTAAAGTGGCGGGGGGGGGGGGTCGCCAAAGATACAGTAAGGGGGGGGGGGTAAGTTCGCAGTCTTTAGGGGGGGATGGGATAGCGTCACACAGCACGGAAACAGTCCTTTCGGTCCAACCTGTCCATGTCGGCCCAGATATCCTAAATTAATCCAGTCCCCATTTGCCAGCATTTGGCCCATGTCCCTCTGAACCCTTCCAATTCATGTACCCATCCAGATGCCTTTTAAATGTTGTAATTGTACCAGCCTCCACCACCTCGTTCCACACACGCACCATTCTCCACGTGAGAAAGTTGCCCCTTTTAAATCTTTCCCCTCTCACCCTAAACCTACTAGTTTTGGACTCCACCCTACCCCGGAGGTCAGGGGGAAGAGCTGGGTTAATTGACCCCTACCCTACCCTGCTACGGTAAGGACCAGAGAAGTGGGTCAGCCAGCAGAACTGCCCACCAGCGATAGGCAGAAACTCACAACGCTTTCCAGCCGGGGTTCGATGCGGCTCTCGGGGCTTAAAGGAACGGTCCAGTGGGGGGTGGCCACGCGTGGGACTAAGTCGGAATGGGGGGAGCAGGCCGGAGACTGCATTTCTCGCCCAGACATGGAAGCCCACCGAGCGAGGAATACAAACAGTGGGAGCAGGGGTAGGTCATTCGGCCCATCAAGTCTACTCCACCATTCAATGGGATCTGGCCATCCCCAATTCCCACTTCCCCACCACCCCCCCACCTTAAACCCTCGATCCCCTTCCTCATTAAGAACCCCTCTCTCTATCTCAGCTCGAATATCCTCGATGATCCACAGCACCCCCCACCCTTTGCGATAAAGGGTTGCGCAGATGCACTCCCCCCTCAGGGAGAGAAGGAATTCCTCCCCGTCTCTGTCTTCGATGGGCAACACCCCCTCCGGCATCACCCCCCCCTCACCCCCACGCAACGACTGGCCCCCAAGAAACACCTCCTACTGCCGAACCCCACTTGGTTTCAGGGGCAGCAAAGAAAAGAGGCACAAAGACTCGCGGGCAGAGAAATTCAGACAGAGAGAGAGACAGACAGAGAGAGAGAGAGAGAGAGATAGACAGAGAGCGATAGAGAGAAACAGAGAGAGAGACACACAGAGAAAGAGAGACAGAGACAGAGAAAGATAGAGAGATATAACCCCAAGCTTGGTTCGACCAACAGAGGAGGAACATCTCAGCAGAGGTGCAGAGGAGTGGAGGCAAGAGATGTTTTGGTGGTGGGGTAGGGGGGTCGAAGGGTCAAATTGGAAAGCCAGGGCCGGACCAGGCCGGCTGTGAGGTGAGGAGGAGTGGGGGGTGGTGAGTGGTGGCACTGGCCAGGGTCAAGGGGCCATCTGAAGGGGACTTCCCCGCAGTGTGCTCTCCCCCACCCCTCCTCCAGCCTGACGCGCACAGGACCCAAAAGAGGAGTGCCCTTGGGCCCACTGCGACCCTGCCAGCCCTCGGCAAGAGTGAACCACACTCCACCCGGCCTAGCATGGGCGTGGGGGGGTTTCTGGGCTTCGGGTGGTCGGAGCAGGCACTGAGGGGTGGGGGGCCAGGAGGAGAGGAAGGGGAAGGAGGGAGGGTGCTAGATGGGGGATGGGATGGATTGGGAGAGGCGTTGGTTGTGGGGAGGGGGGAGCGGGCGGGCGGGCGTGGGTAGGGGAGGAGGAGAAAAAAGTGGGGGGAAGGAGTAAGGTATGGAGGGGGCAAGGGGCAGGGGATGAAGGGAGGAAGGGAGAGGGGATGGATGGAGGAGGGTGTGCAGACGAATGGGGGAGGGGGAGGGGTATGGATGGGTGAGGAGGAGGGGATGGATGGGGGAGGGGGAGCGGATGGATGGAGGAGGGGG